GTTTGCCTGTTCGTAAATTTCCTCAAAGGAGTCACGTAGGATGGAGTCTTTTGTGTCCAATTTCTTCTACTCCACTTGATGTGTGTATGGGTCGCTCACTCTATTTTGTTAGAGTGATATCCCATTCATTGTATTAATAGATCGTATTTATTTGACTAGTTGATGAAAGCGCAGGCCTGGGTGGAAGCCTAGGAGAATCTTCCTCTCAGAAACTTATCTTTTCAATGGCTATCCAGTCAGTTCCGACTTGTGAAAGGCCCATTTTTTTCCCAAAGCAGGCAGGTTTTTATTAAAGCTGCCTTTTATTTATTTATTTATTTTTCTATTCAAAAAATAATAACTTGGAGCTAGCCATGAAAATTAACAGCCATGGATAAGTCAGAATTATAATAAAGGGGAATTTATGCTTAGTGTTAGTGCGGCGCTTTAAAATCCCTTTGAAGTTACTGTGCTTTACCTAGTGGTCTTGCGTCTGCGACCTCGGCCTATGACTATAACGCAGGCACTTGTGAAGAATGTATGTTTTGCATTTGGGTTCTATAAATTCAAGTAGGTCAAGACGGCTGCTCGAATCATTCAAATCTTCTACGCTATTTGTGGCTTTGTTTGTCTACCAGTCCCCAAAGTTGGTGGAAAAAGAGAAGTACGTGACAGATGACATAAACAGAAAAATTTAACAGGACAATCAACTCCAGTCACATTGACCTTTATATGAAACATGTTCGCTACCATCGAGCCGGTGCCCTTTGAGAGCATAGCCCGATGTGCAGTAGAGCAAGCACCGCCCAGCCCCACACCAGCACCGTCCCCGCGATTGTTGCGATGATTGCGCCCAGTGTTGCAGTCACCCCATCTCGGGGGGGATCTTCCTTTGTTCCCCTATGAGCCTCTTCTTTGTCAAGCATGATGATGTCTTTCTCCAGGAACCAGTGGGGACCAGCCTCCACACCCGAGAGAGTCCTAAGGAGCAGTTGCGTGATTGAAGGGAAAGAAATAAAGGACAAAGCATGCAAGGGCTCACCTCTGCCGTGGAGTCTGGAACTGTTAGGTAGCTCGATTTAGGGATAGGGGGATTGTCCCTCCCATGCCTGCAAAGGCCCCCATCGAGGAGGTTGGGAAGAAATCAGACACAAAAATGGACACCCTGTGAAAACCCAAACTGAGTATGCACAGATTAGGGTCCCCAGCATAAGTGAAACCTAAAACCTAGCCTCCACTTAGGACCAAGGCGTCTCACAGGTGGTCCACACTCAGCCAGTGAGGTCAACCAATACCTTCTCCCACACCTCCCCAGCCAGTGGGTGGGATAGAGAAAGGCAGGAGGGACAACCCTGCCGCTCTCACTGCACCCCCTCGAGGCCCACCGCCAGTCTCTGTTCTGCCCTCGCTCAGGGGCAGGATGTAAGGAGGGCTTCTAGTGGGCGGGGTGAGCACATACCTGCATCCCCCCTAACGGCTCACCCCGGGCCTACTCAGGGCCCACACGACTGACTGTGTGTATGTCTACCATCTCGCCGTTTGTCTTCTTTTTCTCATCTCTGCGTGGTACTTTTCTTTTCTTTCTTCTTTGGGATTTAATTGAGTATATATTGGTCTTCAATATCTTCATGTAAATGAAAGCACTTCACGACTCTTTGCTTCCAACTACCGTTTTCTGTCCTTTGCAGACTGACCATTTATTTTACTCCTGCACTCACGACACTCACTCACTGCCGACTCCGGGGACCCTGTAGGACAGAGCAGAACTGCTGCTATGAGTTTCCGAGGCTGTAAAAGCCCTGTCTTTCTCCTTTCTGGCGCACATGACTGGAGTCCCTGACTGGGGCAGATGGTTAACATTCTTGGCTGCTAACCGAAAGAGTGGCAGTGTGAATTCCACCCAGGGACACCTCCCAAGCAAGACCTGGCAATCTACTTCCTTCAAATCAGCCTTTGAAAGCCTTATGGGGCACGGTTCTACTCTGTTGCCACAAACCCAACATTGACGGAATGGCTCTATTTTCTGTTTGTTTGCTTTAATGTCAAGTACTTTAGGGTACTGGTGATGCATCAGTGGACAAAACAGACAAAAACAAACAAAAATCCCTTCCCTCATGTAGTAGACCATAAACACAATTCATAAATACGTATGTGTAATACAGTAAAAATGATAGCCGCTAGTGGGGGAACTGAAGCAGAATAAAGGAGTCAGATGTTTGGAGGGGCTTTCAAATGATACAGGGTGGGCAGGGTGACCGAGGCAAAGGTCAGAGACCTCTTGCAGAAGTTAACAGTAGCTGAATGAAGGTGCCGTAGTTTAGTGGTATTCCAGTTTAAGCTCAATTGATCATAGTCTACTATGTGATACTTACTGCAAGTATTCCTAAACTTTCATGGCAATTCAGTATGTTCACGATCTTGTATTCTATTAAAGTGTTGGTTTTAGTGGATTGGAAATCGCCAATGCAAAACAAAACTGGTTCCTCACGCCCTCGCAAAGCATGATGTGGTTGGTCTCGTGCCCTCAGACAGCACAGCGTTTGAAGGATTCACGGAAAGGAACAAAGAAGAAACAATAGCCACCTGTTGTACTTGGGGGGTGGAGGGCGTTTCTACTCTGCCCAAAATCTAGCTGCTAATATGAGTTTGCTTCCCTGTTTTTGTGAGGTGGTGAGGGTGTTTTTATTTTTTATTGGGGGCTCATACAACTCTTATCACAATCCATACATCAATTGTGTAAAGCACATTCGTGCCCTCATCATTCTCAAAACATTTGTTCTCCACTTAAGCCCCTGGCATCAGCTGCTCACTCCCCGCCTTCCCCCTCTCTCATGAACCCTTGATAATTTATAAATTATTATTTTGTCATATCTTGCACTGGCCGAAGTCTCCCTTCACTAAGGTGACCAGATGTCTCGCTTTTGGCGGGACAGTCCCGATTTTTGGCGTTTTAAAAAAGTCCCGATTTTTGGAAAGAATGCACGACAAGCTAGGGAACGGTCTATTTGGTCCATATAGACCAAATTTTTAATCAAGAACCCCCCCACCCCACCGGTCAATGATGTCCTGCTTTAAATCTGGTCACCTTACCCTCCACCCACTTTTCTGTTCACCCCCCAGGGAGGAGGTCATATGTAGATCCTTGTAATCAATTCCCCCTTCCACCCCACCCTCCTCCACGGTGAGGGTGTTTTTAAAACACAGGCATTGCTTTGTTTTATTGGCACCCACCACCTTTATAGCTGAGCATGGCCCCTAGCCCTTTGTCTTAATATGTGCATCGGGGTATGGAGCCTGCTTTGAAATGCTGCTTTTAAAATGAAAGGGAGTGAAAGCCACTTAATTACCTGAAATCCAGGAAGTGCACACTCCTTGGCTTAATGCTTTGTGTTCTCAGTGTTTCACGTCTCCAGTGTTCCAGCAGGAAGGTGGTGGTTGGACTTTATACCCAACGCCTTGGGGCTGTGCTGTGGCTGGCATACAAGTAAAGGTTTTGAGAACGATCTTAATTAAAACAGAAGCTAGCTTGTTAGCACCCCACCCCCACCCCCAACTGGTTTTTGAGTGACTTCATGCAGGTGCCTTCAGCATTTTTATGTTGTAGTTTTTACACACACACACACACACACACTTATAGCTTTTGTAGTGAATAAAGGTTTAGAAAATCCTTAGGTAAAACTACTATAAAATCAAGGTAATATTTCACAATGGTTACGTATGGTATTTTACTAAATTAAATGTATAGCAGAGAATGGATCTGAGACTCTGTCCAAATTGTACATATGCTTATGGAAATAGGAGGTCGATCAAATCTGGCCGATGAGAAACCATGGGCAGAGATTTCAGTTCAAGAGCATCCCCTCTCTTTCCGGCTCTCTGCCGCTCCACAGTATATGCACAGTCCAGTCTTCTACCACCAGCCTGGTGGGAGACTAGACGTGGGTGCCCACCCTGCTGCGTGAAATGCAGCCATGATTGTTCAAAGTCCCATAATCTTAACTCTTTCTTGTTTGTGACCCCCCTTTTTTTTTTGGCAAGAGTAATATATGTTTAATCAGGTTAAAAAGAAGACTAGATTCTGATACAATATCCGCCTTTAAGAAGTGCTACAATCCTTCATTTACCTGTCAGAGCCTAAGGAAACAATGGAGATTTATTGTTCCAGGAGAGACTTGGCCAGAGAGCATCAGATAAATGCTGGTGCAGCGTTGCAGTGAAAATTAAGCTCACCTAGGTTCAAAATGATCTTTGCTGTGTTTACTTCCTACGTGTTTATGCAGAACTCAGGAAACTTCTTTGATCTTTATTTATAAAATGGAGATAAAGATGCTCATTTTATAGAGTTGTCACCAGTAAGATTTATGAATAACTTGTATAGAGGCCAGTATAGGCGCCCAATAAGTGATAGCCGTGACTTCTTTATGAACAGCCAGTAGGCTTGTGTGTGTGAAGCTGTTTTCTTGGACAAAGCTTTTGGTAAACCCTACTGCAAGGGGCACTGTAAGGAGCCCGGGTGGCACTTTCGGGTGAGCACTGGATTGCTAACCCAAAGGTTGTTGGTTCAAATCCACCAAACTATCTGCTCCCCTAAAGAATGACTGCCTTGGGAACCCAGCACAGAGCTGCTGAGAGTCAGAATCAACTCTGTGTCCTAGAAAGGAGGCAGGGGGGCAAGAGAGCTGAAATTGGTAGGTGGGTGCAAGAAGGCTGAATGCTCAGCCGTCATGGCTTTCAACAAGGTTCCGATACCATCCCCAAAGCATGCCCAAGAGTCCTAGCGCTGCACAGCCTACCATGTAAGAAATCCATCCTACTGGATGTCAGACATCCGTGGTCTGGCAGAACAGAAGGTACTTGTCCATGGCGTGTAAAATGATTCTGCGAACTCAACCACTTCAGAAGTTTTCTCCTCTGACTGCAAGTGGAGCCATAATTTGATGTTGAATTTGCAAACTTGCTAGCTAGCAAGCCTGTGCCATTTAAAGAGTGTAATGATAACGTCATTATTGTTTCCGATCTAGGCTGGGACTTGCCATTGAAAGATAAGAAAATGATGAGTGATGCAAGTGACATGTTGGCCGCGGCGCTGGAACAGATGGATGGCATTATAGCAGGTAATCTTCTTCTTCCAGAAGCTGACTCCCCACATGGACCCCGCTGCCTCGGGTTTTTTTCATGACAACGCTTAAACTGTCTTTGCATCGTCTTTCTTGTTCTTGTGGGCTGGCTCTCTCCAATGCCTTGACATTCCCCATGGTTTCCTCTTTTCTGTCTGTCTGTCTGTCTGTCTGTCTGTCTATCATCTATCTATCTATCATCTATATTTAAAACTGGAAGTAATCTCAAGCTTTCACTTAAAGTGCCAGCCTCTGATCAAGGATAAAGAATCAGTCTGCTGGTGATTCTGGAAGAGGTGGTGTGCGGGCCAGGCTATGAGGAACACCTCTCTATCCAGGATCGCTGAAGGTTCTGACCTGCTGCCTTAGATTCAACATTCACTCTTTTCAGAAATGAGTCCCACATCCATCTATATCCTGTACCTTTGGCTTTCCCAATTCTTTCGAAGCTTCAACACCCTCTTCTTTCCCCGGTGGACAGCCAGCGCTCTCTCCTGAAATTCCCTTTAGGCACACACCGCAGGGCCGTTGTTAAAGACAGTGCTTTTCCTTGGAAGCCTCTCTGTGGGTCTTCATCCTAGCAAATTCCATCACCCTCCCTCCTCCACACTTCCACAACAAGAAATGTAAGCGGTGCTGGACACATGTGTCCCTCGTGTTTCCCATTTATTCAGTCTCTCAATCCCATCTCCTGCCTTTCCTCTTTGTCCTGTCTAGAGTCTGGCAGAGCTCGGCCACCATTATCTTAGTTTGTACAGGACACCCACTCACTCAGGTGATGCCCCCGATTTCCCATCCACTCCAGTGCATCCTTTCCCAGCCCTTCAGACTGGCCTTTCTTAAGCACAAACCTGGGCGTATCACCCCCTGGTTAAGACTCGTCTGTGATTTTCTACTGTGAATGCAGTTTTTCTGTGTGAGAGCAGACCACGGGTGTTTGAAGCCCATCACACCATGGCAGAGGGAGCTGAGGAGCAGCGAATCCCTGGTAATTCCTTGCAGTCTCCCAGGAGCGGTGGCTTCTCCCGAGGAAAGGGTCATGTCAGAGTTTGCCCTTCTCTGTTGCACTTTGTCCTGGAGACCACACTTCAGTTGCAACTCCATGTGTATTAGGCTGCACATTGAATACTATAGTCGGTGTTTGGAATATTGCTTTCAAAGCATTCTTAGCAAGCTGAAACTTGTTTAGAGTAGGTGAGCATGATGGTGGAGAGTTAAACAACCCATCAGAAAAGATCATTTGAAGGAACTGGTTAAGAAAAGTTCATGCTTGAGGCTTGAAACAATGTTTGCTTACAGTTGAAAGACTATTATGTGGATGACATCCAAATGTCAAATATAGAACTACAATTAATTCTAGGCTCTTGCCAGAGATGATAACCCTACACTCTTAGAAAAACGCTGATTGAAAGTAGCGATGTTTTTGAAGCATTATTTGAAGGATTTACGGTTCATATACTATCCCATGAAAAGGAGCCCTGGTGGTGCTGTGGAATAAGTATTGAGCTGCGAACGGCAAGGTTGATGGTTCAAACACACCTGATGCTCCATGTGAGAAAGATGAGGCTATCTGCTCCCATAAACATTTATAGTCTTGCCAACCCTCAGGAGCAGTTCTACTCTGCCTTTTGGCATTGCTATGGGTCAGAATTGGCTCCGTGCAAAGGGTTTGGTTTGGTTTGATAAACTCTTCCATTAGAAAAGAACGTTGGTAGTACAATGGTTAAAGTGCTGAGCATTGGTCCGCAGTTCAAATGCACCTGCTCCTCTGTAAAGAAAGATAATTCTCTTTGACAATATTAAAAACAAACAAACGCACTGCCATCAAGTTGATTCTGACTTACAGCCACCCAATATAGAGTGTCTGGAGCTTTGCAGACCTTTGCGGGATTAGATAGTCTCATCTTTTTCAAGATGAGAAGCTGGTGGATTTGAACAGCCTACCTTGTCACTAGTGATTGCAGTACTTACCCAACAGCACCGCAAGGGCTCCTCCTGGTAAATATTTGCATGCTCTTTGGAGGCAGTGCCGCTCTGCCCTGCAGGGTGGCTGTGAGTTGAAATGAACTCCTTCACAGTGCGTTTGGTTTGGATGATATTCTACCCCAACCCCATCCGGGGCTTCAGAGCAGTTTAGAGTTACTAAGGAGCTCAAGTCTCACCACAGACTTTGTAGGCCGGGAACATGTGAGTACCATCTGTGTTTGTATGTTTTCATACACTGAGTGATTTTCCACCTGAGGTAATAGTATGGGGAGAGGAGGAGAAAAGACAGTAAATGTTTGGAGAGTTTTTCTAAATTAGCATTTTTCCCGGCAGCCACCATATTTGGGGAAGGAGACTTTCAAAACAGAGGAAGGACTGGTGGGTTTAGAAGAATCTCATCAGTGAGGTTAAAACCACTGAAATGAGGGCTTCGGATCTCTGTGTTTGTTTTTATAACAGTTTTATTGGCATATAATCCACCCATCACACAATTCAGTAGTTGAATCGAATCAAGAATTGTACCATCATTGCCACAGCCAGTTTTGATCCCTGTGATTTTTGAATGCTCTTCTGTTCCCTTGTCCTCACACCATCTTCATTTTATATCTTTCTGGGTTCCTGTCTCGGCCTTACGTGTTGTGAGATGGTTGATTCTCAGGGTTTTGATACGCATTTAGCATAGCAACAGTTGCCATCACTACGATTTGGCAGCTTTGGGTCCAAATCTTTAGGTCCCAACCTAATGGAGGACAGTGAGTGGCATGGACTTCCCGAGAGATAATTACTCTCCCTGGGGTTGGAATTGTTCAAACTAGGTGACCAACTGGAGAGAGAACTTAGACACTAGTTTGAAGGTCGCCACTTGTTACAACCTTATTATTTCTTGACTCAGACATAGGAAGTGATAGCTTAATTGTGACAGTTATTGATATTTTAGTGTACCAGTAGTTTGTATATTTGACACACCAAGAAAAAGAAAATAATCAGAGGTGAAAGCTTTCAGAGCGGGCTGTGCATTAGCAGTGTGAGTTTTAGTAGAATGGTTTCATTGTAAGTGATAGAAAGCCAACTATATAACCATGTAACTAGAAACTAGCTGTGTAACTATTTTTAAAAGTTGACATTAGCATTAGTCTTGATGTTTGGGCTGCAAACAAAATCCTGAGGGAAAATACATATTTACATGCCTATTGCATTGGACTTTTTAAGAGATTAAATTCTGGTGTGTTAGCTAAGAGTTGGTTGCCTTATATATGCTTTGCAATGTTCATCTCACTGTAACTTAAAACAAATTTTTTGAAGACTTTGTGGCTTTAAAATACATGTTTCTGGAGTGCATAGCTCCACACAAATGGTTTTGGCTCCCTCATCCCAGGCATTTCCAGTGGGGTTAGTACATCTTTGTCCCAAACCCACCATCCTTTCTCTGATTATTATGCCACACAGTGATCATCTCTGTTAGGTATTGAACTATTGAACACAGCTCATTCTCATTCTTTGTGCAGTTACGTCCTAAAACTTCCCATTGGCTTTGAATTCACTCATTCACTCGCTGTCACTGAGTTGATTCCTACTCATAGCAAACCTGTAGGACAAGGTAGATCTGCCCTGGTAGGATTCTGAGACGGTAACTCTTTGAGGAGTAGAAAGCCTCATTTTTGTTCCGTGGAGCAGATGGTGGTTTTGAACTGCTGACCTCTTGGTTAGCAACCAAAGTGTAACCCACTACACTTCCAGGGCTCCTATGAATGAACAAATACCAAATGAGTCTTGTGCATTGAGCTACTCAGTATTTTTGCTGAGTATGCATACCCATGGATGACCCATGTAAACACCATGGGTATTGGTTTTGGGGTTGCAAATAAACTCTAGTGAGTTGGCCAATTGGCTAATATGAAATAATGATAGACTGTATATAGTATTTGTTTTTTCTACCGTATTACTATGACTTAAAGGCATTTACATGATTGAATTATTATCTGTCACCCCCCACTCCCATATACTTTGTTTTAATTTGAATGTTCCTCATTGCTTACCATCTTTAGCCCTGCTGTTGAATATAAATCCCATTTCTTTCCTTGTGATGTTTTCCACCTAGGTTCTAAGGCCCTGGAATATTCTAATGGGATTTTTGATTGCCAATCTCCCACCTCCCCGTTCATGGGAAGCCTTCGAGCTCTGCACCTTGTAGAAGACCTGCGTGGATTGTTGGAGATGATGGAAACAGATGAGAAAGAAGGCTTGAGATGCCAGATCCCAGATTCAACAGCAGAAACACTGATTGAATGGCTTCAGAGTCAAATGGTAGGTGTCTCTGCCTCTTGAAAGCCCCACAGTGTGTGTCTTTCCTTACTTGTTTCATAATTTAGAGGGTAGAGTAACTAATTAGAACAGGAAAAAAAATTACAGGGCAAAAGCTTTGCTTTAATTTTGTCTCTTAAGCGATTCCAATTGTCTTTTTACTCTTCAGATCTTTTTTTAAAATGCTCTTAGTGCAGATTTTTAGTGCCAGCAGCCCTTGTGGCGCTGTTGGGTAAGCGTTGGACTGGTCACCACAAGGATGGAAGTTCAAAGCCACCAGTTGTTCCTCGAGAGAAAGATGAGGCTGTCTGCTCCCATACAGATGTACAAAGCCTCGGAAACCGTAGAGGGTAATTGTGAGTCAGCATTGGCTCCATGGCTGTGCTAGCAGGTCATTGGATTCTGGTCATAAAAGTGGAATTGCTTTTCAGACGCTCCACTGTGGCTTAAAACATATAGGGCCATACGGAGAAAAAGGTTTGCACATAACAGTTATTCTCGTGGTACTTTGGGGAAATTTGCTGTGAAGCGTCCAATGGCATTCAAAAAAAATTAACATCTTGCATTCCTGTGGTGTATCTGTTACAGCTGATGAACCCAGCTTGATACGTAATGTTATGTAGTCCTATGGGTTTTGAAATCCAGCAGACTTACAATTTTTTTGGTGGCAATCCACCCAGCCAAACACATCTATGATGCGCAGCATCTACGTGAGCAGTTCGGTGACACTGGTTACCTCGTTCACACGGTGTCACTGTTCTGTCTCGCCCCATATCGTCTCCGCACCGTTAATTTAGACCGCTTTCCCATTAAAGTTCTCATCTAGATGAGTTCATCTGGACAGCTCCATGGCAACTCTAAGTGGAAAGTGTGATGGATTGGGAATCGCACCCAGGTTGGAGGCAGCGTGTGACTGGCAGTGCCCTCTAGTGGTTCATGGCAGTCCTGTCAGCTCCGTCCGGTGCGCTCATTAGGCCATGAAGTTGCGCTTTCAGTGGCGCTCTGAGTTCCCTGGGCAGCGAGGCCTCACTCTGGGCATCCTGCTCAAAGTGGATGTTGCGACAGAGCTGCCCTTCCTCATTAGTCAACGCCGTGGCTTTTGTGTGTCGAAGACATAAAATATGAAGGGGGTTACAGTAACGTACTCTGAATTCAATGATGAAGACAGAGGAGATGGTGGTTTGTGAGTTGACAGGACTCATCAGTAAGATACCACAATAGGCTTGTGTGTTGCAAAGAAACAGGCCGATGTTTGGAATGCTGGCGACGATGGAAGCGGTTTGCTCTGGGAACCTTAATGATGCGTATCAGTAGCGGGACAGTGAAGAAGAGGACGGCCTTCCACAAGGCGGACGGACACTAGTGGCTGCAATAGTGTGCTCAGCGTCCTAACAGTTGTGCGGATGACGCAGGACCGCGCACTGTTCAGTTCTGTTGTACATCGGGTTGCAGCACACAACAACAATACAGCGGAAGCATTGGGATGTGATGTAATACCAGTACTGGTGTTCACAACCAGTGTTCTCACAAATATTGTTTTGTTCCCACCCAACTTACCTCTTCATCTCTGAGTGCAAATAATGCAATCTATCTTTTGTGGTGGTGTAGCTACGTAAACTTGATAGTGGCAGGTATCTTTGATCACATGGGTGCCTTATTATTAAGCTCTGCAAGTTTCCCCTCTACAGCTTTCACGGACTCAGGCTTGCCAGCTTCTCGGGGATTGCTTCATACTCCGAATTTAGGTGTTCCCCAGCCTTCTTCCCTTGCCTGTGTCTCGCCCCTACTACACTCCGTGGTTTTTTGACCATGCAGTCACTCTGTGATGGGAAAGGGATTAAGAAGCTATTTCTAACCCATATCCAAAAGCCATCAAGTGAACCTGAGCTGAAGGAGACCCGTGGTTGTGTTAGGTTTCTAGTGGGTTATACCTTGGTTCTTTGCTTCACGTGCTGAAAGAATTCGCGCTGAAGCACGTTGTGTGATCCAGGTGAGTTTTTATGAAGTATAAGTTTCAGGTTTTACGGTCCCCAAAAGGTACACGCTATTTCTGGAAAGCATGCCAGGCTGAGTGGAAGTTACGTTGGGATTCACAACTGGGCACGGGCAACCACGTGGAAAAGAGTACCCCCATGTGTGGAACTAGGGTGGGGTGGGGCATCCCGGGAGGCCAGAAACCCAAGAACCCTAGAGGCTAAGTGCATGTGGGCCCAGAGGCTGTGGACCCCGAGTAGGCCCAGAGCGGGCATATGTGCACCCGTGTAGGGGAGGGAGACCCTCACCCTCCACCTGCCACTGACCAGGAGCAGGGTAAGAGAGACCGGCCGTCCCACAGCCGCCAGGATATGCCAAACCTCTGGCTGGGGAAGCGTGGTTGGTGGCATTGGTTAACCCCATTGGCTGAGTTAGGCCCACCTGTGTGATGTACCTAAGCTGGTACGTCCAAGATACAGGTTTTACCTGGGCCTTGGGGGGCTTATGTCTGTACGTGCTGAGTTTGGGGTCATCGTAGGTGTTCAACGGCTGCCTGATTTCTTTCCAGTCTACTCTCTGGGGGCCTTTGCAGGCATGGGAGGGACACCCCCCCCCCATCCCTAAATCTAGCTACCTAACAGTTGAATTTTTTACTTATGTCTCAAACATGCTAACATGCGCTCAGTCTGTGTAATTAAAGTATTTCTGAGGAAGATCACTGGTGATGACAACAGAATCTGTCACCCACTCTCTTCTCACAGCCTGCAGTGGCTCCTCCTTTACCCAGTCAAAACCACACTTTCTTACATACTATTTTTTGCCATGTTTATTTCCTTTATATTGCGTCTACAATTAGAAGGTATTATAAACCAAGTATTTTTGCCATGATTAAACAAAAACAAACAACCCAAACCAATTGTACCCTTGGTTCCTCGAATAACGCCTGGCATGTGGCAGAGATTTAACAATGACATTTACAGTGATGCTTCATAGGCAGCCAGGCCAAGTGCACACTGGGATGAACTGAAGTTGGCGGTTGTGCCACATTTATTCCTTGACGGGACAGTGTCTCAATGGGCTTGGTGGCTTCCTGTTTGAAAAGTAAGTGGCCACAAAATGCCCAACACTTTACACAGCTTAGATATAATTGTCACCCAGTTAATAATAATAAATAGCTAGAAGCAACAAATGAAAACAAACTTTTGACCCAAAGAAGATGTGATATTGGGGGGGCACCACGGTGTCGCTGTTGAGTGGTTTCTACCTCTCGCCGTTCCTCCGCCCTGACTCCCATGCCTCCAAATGAAATGGGTGTTTTTTCCCCCAAACACACACAGAATGAGGGAAGGTGGCAAAGGGCCAAATGCAAAGGAGGGAGAGGAGGGAAGAATGGGTGTTTAGGATAATAAAGGCATAGGTGATAAATGAGTGGTCTCAGCATATCTGCTATCGCAACTTTTTTTCATATTTTTTAAGTCAAAAGAGAACTTTAACCCGCAGCTAGAGAGGCTTAGGCTTTCTAACTTAATAGTTTGCAGATATCCGATTTTTCACATTAATCTTTCAGAAGTTACCCTGTGTTTTATGCTCTGAGAAAGTGGCATATGTACACATTTTAGCTGGGATTATAAAGTAAAATATTTTGGTGGTATTTTAGAATTCAAAAACCACGGGATTCTAGCAAATTCTCCCTTTATATTGTACATGGTGAAATTGCCAATGCAACAGATAAGGAAGGTCATTCCAGGTTCTGTAGAAAAATGTGGAATGAGAAAGAAGGCATGTCTTTATTTTAGTGATTACACACACAGGCTCTGGAGACCACACACCCGCATGGTAAGGTTGGCTCGAACTCTCAGAAGCTTGTGTGCTTAGGGGGATATTTCTTAGCTCCAGCCTCCTCATCTGTAAAATGGGGTTAGTGGTATTGTGAGGCTCCTAATGGACTTCAGATAATTCTTGGGAAAATGGAATTATAAGAAAACATCTCTTAATTCCATTTTTCCAGGTACTTTTTGAAGCCTTTTTATATGTTGGGTGCTTATCAAAGAGCCTGGCAGATAGCGAGTTAAAAAGGCAAATACTGAGGAGTAGACTGAAGGAAAACAGGGAACGGATTCCCTTGGCCTTGGGAGAAAGGAAGGGCCCAGTTACACGGGGAATTAGATTCCAAATTCCTCACACCTGCTTCACTTCTTGTGACAAAAGGGTACAGAAATGTGGAGAAGCTTCCAATTGTAGAACAAACTTGTTGGTAATACCAGTTACCTAATTAAGGTTTCACTTGTGTTTAATGAGGGCCATCTTAAATGTCCATGTACTTTAGGCTGATATTAATCTTATCATTAGCGTACCTAGGGATTTGCAGCCAAAATATTGTAATTATTATTTTGCCTGGGTCAAGGACATCCTTTGGTTTCCTGTGGGATGCAGGTTATTCCTTCACTACTTAGCCCTCCTGTCTGTTTAATATTGTTAATTTATCAGGCGCGGGTAGCCATGACTCAGGTTCACTTTTGGTAGGGCAGGGGTTAGGAAAAAAGAAAACAATAGCTGCCTAATAGATTGCAGGGTATACACTCTAGAAGAATGCATTTGATTTAGTAGCATAGCTATAGCTGTGCACTTCTCCAACTGAAGGTCCTCTTAACACAGAGCTTTTCACCTGTGGCAAAAACCAAAATAAGACTATTGAACAGGGCATATTCAGTCAAGACAAAATTCTCTTGTTTTGACTGTGAAATGCTATCTGTTAACAAAAGTACAAATGTTGGAGAATAACTTCCTTTGTTAAGCTCCAAGTTTAAGAAGGAAAACAGGTGGTGGGGGGAGCGGGGAGGGAAAGGGACAATGAGGAGCTGATGCCAAGGGCTCAAGTAGAAAGCAAATGTTTTGAGAATGCTGATGGCAACAAAGGTACAAATGCGCTTGACAGGATGGATGGATGGATGGATGGATGGATGGATGGATGGATGGATGGATGGATGGATTGTGATAGGAGTTGGATGAACCCCCAATGAAATGATTTT